GTGTGTATATATATATATATATACATATATATATAATTTTTTCCATTCAAAATAATGTTCGAGATTATCAAGAGGGAAATATGCTAAGACAGATGTTCAGGAACTCTTCTGCTTTACCATGTAAAAGAAGCTACCAGCTATGAACGAATCCATAACTTTCCATCCCTGCCAACTCCCAGTAAAAACTGTTATACCTAGTTCTTCCCAGCTTTTTGTTGCATACATTTAAGTGGTTAGGAACTTTGCACATGAGCAGGAACCAAAGTTGGAATTAAACTGGGAATTTAAAGCCTCATTCACAGTTCAGCACCGCACCAGTTGGAATCACAAGATAATGCTAATGGTTGCCTTTCTGTTAGTGCTCATGCCAATAATCAATGATAGGAAAAGCAAAGCATGCCATGAGCCATGCAAATCTCTTGGCCTCTTTGTTCTTTAGTTTCCTCATTTGGAAAAAAAAAAGGGACTAGATCTCAAGACATACTTGTTAGAGTTCACACTGGCCTTATACCAGTTAATTAATAATAACTGTATGATGTTTTTATGCAGTTTTATTATATATACTTATCTGCTTTTTCACTTACATTTTGTGTAACAACTGCATTTCATGCCAGGACTGAAACGTTCCAAAGCTCAGTTCGGTGATTAAATTGCAACCAAGATTCCTACCAAAGGAAAAAAAAAAGATAAAAGCAGTGGCAGCAGCAGAAGAGAGAAGAAGAAAGAAAGAAGAAAAAGTAAGAAGGAAGAAAGAAGAAGGAAGAAGAAGGCAGAAATATTCTTTTTTTTCTTTTTTCTTTTTTTGGTTTTTGGGTCACACCCAGCGTTACTTCTAATTCACATAAGCACAATATTTCATGCGCTAAACATCACTGGGGAAGACCTAAATTTAAGGTTTATTCTTTGATGTTTATGATGCTGTGGGGGCATTAGACACAAAATAGCAAATGCTTAACAGATACTTAAGTAATTAAATTCTTTGGAACAGGGATTCATGACTTCAGCACTACCACCACATGGGGGCTGGATAATTATAGGGGGGGCTGTCCAGTGCATTGTAGATATTCTGGAGGCCTCTGCTCACTAGCTACCAACAGCATCATTATAGATCTGGCAACTAAAACAATAAAAAAAACTCAAGACACTATCAAGGGTCATATGGGTACAAAATCATCCTGGTTGAGAGCCACTGTTCTATTGTTCACATTGCTCTGACTAGTAATCTCATACTAATCGTTACTTACAGGCAAAAAAGGATTTGCTGTACAGTGTTAGTAGCCACTTACAATGTTCTAATAATATTCAAATGAATAACAGAGGCTGACAATTAAGTGTTATAAAAATTCCAAAAATAATGAAGCATATTTTTAACTTACACAAACTGCAAAAATGGTAGTGGTTCAAATGTCCGCCTTTCAATAAACTGTATTTTATTGCAGGATAAATCTCTAAAGAAAGGAAAAGGAAAATATTGCTTCAACTAACTACCAAATATCTAATTTTAGAAATAACTAGTAGAAGTCAAAATAATATTGAATGAGTAGATTTGAATGTTCCAGAACCCCTAACCTGGCTTTCATTCCTCTCAACCACAAATCTTCATGAATAAAATGTATGACTACTTGGTTCTAATATTGGAGTTAAATTTTTCTCAGAGCAGAGAATTGATTAGGTGATTTTTATGTTCTCAATTCTAGATGGAGTTTAATTTTTTATCTCCATGTAAAATTACTATATTTAATATAGTTATTTTAATATTCAAATGAATAGTCTCATGTTTATATACCTTTCTGTTTAGCTGTTTTCTAGGCTAATAAAAATTACCCTTTTTCATATAATATGAAATGAAGTTACTCCTTTCAGACAGAACATTGAACTAATTTAGAATTAAACTTTTCTATCATCATAGAAATTCAATTTTTGGTTCTACATTTTCTGAATATCCCATGAATTTCACTGCTTTAATTGTAAAGTGGTGGAACAAAGAAAATCAGAGTACTGAATTTTTATTTGACTACAGTTGACTGTTTTATATCTATGAATTCTACTTAAGTTCTTTCACATATCTCCTAGCTCATCCCCTCTTCTTGGCTTCCTTCCCTCCTTGGCAGTTCTCAGGGCTTGCTCCTGACTGCTCACAGATCACTCTGGGGGTGCTCAGGGGACCCTGCATGGTGTTAGGGATGAAACCTGGATCACCCATGTGCAGAAGCAAGCACCTTACCCCTGTCCTACCACTCCAGTCCCAGTCTTTCCTTTTCTAACCCACAATGCACACCGTCATGTATTAACTTTCCTAATAGTTCTTAAATACCAGCCTCACTTGGGAACTGATTGAAGATGCCTATTCTCAAACCAACCTACGCCAAATCAACTGAAGCTGGAACTGTGGTGGGGGGTTTAACAGGCCCTCCAAGTGATCTACTACAGGCCTGAGTGCCTCAGCGCAGGTGGGCACGAGGAAGCTCGGCATGCTAGCCCTGGCTTACAACACCTGGGTCTAGGTCCCTACTCTTTCTCTTGGTCTTCTGAAAGCATTGAAGTGTTTTTCCTGTGTTTTACCTTTCTTCTACTCTCTTTTTACAAGATTATGTCCAAGACGTCTGACAATCGCCCAACATTTCCTACACTGAAATTCTTATCACCAGAACTCTCCTCGTGATAACCTCATATGCTCTTAATACTACTGCCATAGAATCAATCTGTATTATCATTGCATTTCATATTTAAATGTTTGTTTAAGTTATAGATAATTCGGGAATATGCTGACATAAGATATTAGAATGTTGTATTGCAAATCACAATGAGAAAACTAAAATTTTTTAAAAATTCTGGGCTAATGGCATTCAAGTTAAGTTCTTTATTTTCTAGTTCAATAATTCACAGTCACGGTCCTCCTGTTATTCATCAATTTGCTCGAGTGGGCCCAGTAACGCCTCCATTGTGAGACTTGTTGTTACTGTGTTTGGCATATTGAATACGTCATGGGGAGCTTGCCAGGCTTTGCTGTGTGGGCGAGATACTCTTGGTAGCTTGCCAGGCTCTCCAAGAGGGATGGAGGAATCGAACCCAGCTTGGCCAGGCCGGCTGCACACAAGGCAAACACCCTACAACTGTGCTATTGCTCCAGCCCTCAATAATTCAGGTTTATTTTCATTTATTTATTTATTTATTTATTTTCTTTTTGGGTCACACCCGGCAATGCACAGGGGTCACTCCTGGTTCTGCACTCAGGAATTTCTCCTGGCGATACTCAGGGGACTATATGGGATGCTGGGAATCAAACCTGGGTCAGCAAGGTGGAAGGCAAACATCCTACTCGCTGTGCTATCACTCCAGCCCCTCATTTTATTTTTTAAATAATTTTTTTTTACTACACCAGCTTTTAAAAGTTTTCTCTAAAGACCAGAAATTTAAAAATAATAATATTCTAGATTTTGCAGAGCATATTATTATTTCTTACAGAAAAACACAAACATAGATTTTACAAACAGAAACATAGTTTTAGCTTGCTCTTCAAGCTGTGCTCTCCCATGTATCTCGCTTGCTAGTCTCTATGTTCATTTGCTTATTCATTTTCACGCTGGAAAAGCTGGTGCTCTCTCTCCAACATCGCCCTCCTTTCTCTCCTCCCACATCTTCCTAAGCACATTTCATTCAATAAAAACTAACCTGTATCAGTGTTGCATCTCTTTAAATTCTTTCCTGCAAGGGACAGGCGGTGAACCCATGATGCCTAAGAGGAGGTTGGGACTGGCTTCCCATTCCTGCTGACTGGCAGGGCAAGGGACCCTGGAAATGTACTTTGGGGGAATAATAAAACTAAAGAAGAAATTCCCTAGCCCTAAAGTAGCCCAAGAGCTTGACAATCACATCATTTGAAATACAAATCCTCATATCTTTCTAAATAAGTTTTAATAAAAGCTATCTTGTTTCATACACAAAATTAAAAAATAAATAAAACCATGGGCTGGAGCAATAGTACAGCTAGTGGGGCCTTTGCCTTGCATGCAGCCCAAGAGTGTGACAATCACATCATTTGACATACAAATTCTGAGCTCTTTGAAGAGAAACTGAGGTATCACCAGGACACAAAAATCCAGGGCCCCACCCAGAAAAGGCTGGTCCCCTCAGAAAAGAAGTTACACATGAATCCATGAGATTATAAGGAGAACATCAACAGTGCGAGGCATTTCTGTGAAAACATTTCTGTGCGGGCGGGATATTCTCGGTACAAATAAAATAATTTTTTTTAAAAAAATGAACATATTTGCATAGATCTTTGTTTTTATTTAGTAGTGCTCAGGGTTTACTTCAGGAATATTACTGGGTGGTCAGGGAATGGGGAGCCCAGCTCTGTGTCCTGCTGGAAATCCAACCTGGGCCTCCTGTTGCAAAGCATCACACTCACCATTTGTATAATCTCTCCAGTTGACAAAAACAATTCTTTAGTAAATGGACTATGTAAAACTGAACCATGCATTGGATGTGATCCAGGGGACATAAAGGAACTCTATATGAATATGGAGGAGATGGTATATTAGGACTTAGGTTTATATGAGTGGAGCAGATATAAGTACTTTTCATCTATTAGTAAAGTTTGAAAAACACTTTTGTGAAGCAAGATAGTTTACACTGAAAGAAAATTTCTTAGAAAGATGTGGGGAGTGGGAAAGAGAAAGAATGTGTTCATGAGATAACATGGCTTCTCAGAGCAGAAAGAGCAAACAAAGAGACATGGGTACAAGTGGGCAAATTACATGATCCAGGGAGAACATGGGCTTGAAGAGTAAGCCTAAAGTTTTTTTTATATATGTACATATATATATATATAAATGCAAATGCAATTTAGTGTCAGAAATAAAACGAGAGGTTTTTAATGCTATACTTCCAAAACTATAGAATTTTATTGCTGGAAAAAATGATAAAGATTAACTTGCACAACCTTTGTTTTATAAACAACAGCTAAAAATTCATAAATAAATGATTAACTAACTTACAAGTACTTGATGTGTGGTAGGTCTTCAAATGAATCCTTACGTAATTCAGTCAAAGAATTGTCACTGAGGATTCTGAGAAATGGAAAAATTATTTCTGGACTAAAATGCAAAATATCTATGACTATTTACTACATAGGACTATTCTTACACCTAATAATGGTGCTATCTAAATATTTCAATTCTTATTTAACTTAGGGATAGTGATCTGTTTAAACTCTTTATTTTGTCCTCACTTAGATCCACCATGCACATGAACACAGCTATTGACTCTTCTCACCAAGTAACCTATATAAAGCATATTCTCTAGGTCACAAAATCTGTCCGAATTCTAGGTGACACCAGAACCAAGGATTGCCACTCCCTACTCTCTTCCCAAACATTACTCTGGATACGCCATGAATAATGAAATTAAGTCTGTCAAGGAAGCCCTTCGAAACTTAACACCATTAAATTGTTTTGTTCTGGGAAGCAAAACATGCACAAAATGCACATGACAAATACTCAAGAATGATTGGGGCCAGAGCAATAGTACAGTGGGGAGGGTGTTTGCCTTGCACATGGCTTACCTGGGTCAGACCCGGCACCCCATTTGATCCGCCACGTCTGTCAGGAGTAATCCTTGAGCCCATAACTAGTGGTTGTGCAACAACCCCACCAACAAAAAAGAACAGGCCAATAAAGCTAAGGTCCCAAGATATGTTCCTGACAAGGAACATAGCTTCCCAGAGGCCCCAAGTGTGCCGCTACAAATCACACCCTCCTCTGACACACACCCCTGACTTTAATGAATATTTCTTTGTTATTTGGGGGATTTCGTTGGGGCTTTGTTTTGTTTTGGGGCCACACCCAGAAGTGCTCAGTGGTTACTCCTGGCTCTGCACTCAGGAATCATTCCTGGTGGTGCTCAAGGGACCATATGGGGTGCTGGGGATCAAACTCAGGTCAGCAGTCTGCAACACAAAAAAAGCCTTTCCAGAGGCAGAGAATTTTATCCTGGTCCACGGAATTGGGTTGCCTTGGAAGGCTGGATCAGAGGGCAGGAAAGGTAACCAAGATTTTCAAAGACTTGCAGTTCAGCTTCTCTTCCCACCTTTACCTTATAAGGATCAAATGTCAAAGGGAGTCTCCACATGATTTGCCCCCAGCCCTGGGCCCAGAACTGGAAAGCTTTTAAAGTCTGTTGAGGGACTCCCATGTTGGAAACCTATAATTGCTGCCAATTATGATTTAGATTCCCTGCTCCAATGTCCCCTTTTGTTTAGAAAATTCTACCTTTCAGAACTAAGGATAATCCCTGAGCACTACTGTGTGGCCCCAGGCAAGATTATAAAAAAAAAATTCTACCTTTTTTAACACTTAGAAAAGTATGAAAGCGATTTCCATTTATAGACTTTCTAGGTCTAAGGTTCATAGTCTGGATGAAAATAAAATTATTTCCAACGCACTGAAACAGCCTTTGGTTTTGGTTTTGGTTTTAGATCACACCTGGCTGTGCTCAAGGCTTATTCCTGACTCTGTGATCAGGGATCACTCCTGGCAGGGCTGAAGGGCCCTATGGGGTGCTGGGGATTGAATCCTGGTAGGCCATATGAGAGGCAAACACCCTACCCACAGTACTATCGCTCTGGCCCTAAAATGGTCATTTCTCATATTATGAATGTCAACCGACAATGACAGATTAGCAATATTGTTTATTTGGCCTCTAATAGAAACCACCGATATTTTTCACATCGCATTTATTATAGACATATCAGTCTTTTGGTTCTTCATCACAAATACGAAGTTAGTTGTTAGACATACAGGTGGCTATTAGATATGCCAATATGTGTTATTTAATATCACTGTCACTGTCACTGTCCTCCCGTTGTTCATCGATTTGCTTGAGTGGGCCCAGTAACATTGTGAGACTTGTTACTGTGTTTGGCATATCGAATACATCACAGGGAGCTTGCCAGTCTTTGCCGTGCAGGCAAGAAACTCTCGGTAGCTTGCCCAGCTCTTCAAAAGGGGTGGAGGAATCGAACTTGGGTTGGCCATGTCAGCCGCATGCAAGGCAAATGCCCTACCCGCTGTGCTATATACTCAAAGAAAAAAATTTATAACTCTACCAATCATTTTTTGATGGTCTGTTTCCTGATTCTTGTTATTTGTTCGTTTTCAAGTCACATGCCGTGGGGCTCATGGGCTACTCTTGGCTCTGAGTAGGGATTGCTCCTGTCAGTACGAGAGTCCCTGTGGGGCCAGCGACTGAACCCAGGTCTCCCCCATGCAAAGCATATACACTCATTTATGGAGCTGCCTTCTAAGCAAATGCTTTTGTTTTCTTAGCAATTTCTTATGAATTGCTTTTTTGTTTAATAACATCTTAAATCTCATTTGGTTGTAGTTGGCTTCCACCATTTCCCCATAGTTTATCTTCTTATACATTTAAAAATAGTATCCCTACAAGACAAACACCACAAGCACAATACCCTTCTATAAAAAGATGGCACAGAATCCCATGACAATCATCTTTTTCGGTGTCAATGGTCTAAATGCACCAATTAAGAGACACAGAGTGACAAAATAGATTAAAAACCTGGATTCAACATTCTGCTGCCTACAAGAAACACATTTGAACAGTGAGAGTAAACACAGACTCAAAGTCAAAGGATAGAAAACAATCCTTCAAGCAAATAGCTGCCTCAAAAAATCCAGACTGACCATACAGATACGAGAATCTGACAACAGAAATTTCAATCTGAAAAAGATTAGAAGGGACAGCGAAGGCCATTTTTTAACAATCAAAGGATATGTACATCAGGAAGAAATTACATTCCTACATATATATGCACCCAATGAGAGGTCAGCAAAATACTTAAAACAACAGCTAACAGACTTCAAGGAGGACATAACATCACAATAGCAACACAACAGTTGTCAGAGACTACAATGGGAGTTGGAGACTTCAACACCACCTTGTCACCTCTTGATAGATCAACAAGACTAAAACCTAACAAAAAAGTACTGACTCTGAAGGAAGAAATGAAAGAGAGAGGGCTAATAGATGTTTACAAGACTTTTCATCCCCCCAAAGCTGAAGACACATTCTTTTCCAGTGCCCATGGAACATTCTCCAGGATAGGCCACATGCTGGGCCACAAAACATACCTCCAAAGAATCAAGAAGATAGAAATTTTATCAAATATTTTTTCAGACCACGATGTCCTGAAGATAGAAGTTAATCACAAACAGAAATAGAGAATCAGACCAAACACCTGGAAATAAAACAGCTCAATGCTGAACAATCAATTGGGTTCGAGAGGAAATTAAGCAAGAAACCAAAAGATTCCTGGAAACAAATGAGAATGAAGACACAAGCTACCAGAACCTGTGGGACACAGCTAATGCAGTGTTTAAGGGGAAGGTTTATAGCTCTGCAAGTGTTTATGAGGAAGGAAGAAAGGGTTCACATAAATAACTTGACTTCACAGCTTAAGATCTTAGAAAATGACCAATAAAAGGAGCCCAAACCAGGCAGGAGGAGAGAAATAATCAAACATAGAGCAGAAATCAAGAAGCTGGATTCCAAAAAAACAATCCAAAAGATCAATGAAATCAAGAGCTGGTTCTTTGAAAAAATAAACAGATTGGTATTCCACTAACAAAACACACAAATAAAGAGAGAGAACCCTAATAAACCAAATCAGAAATGAAAAGGGGGACTGTAGGATAACATTGCTTTGTCCTTTCTCCCTTGCCACAAAGGGCTTAGGTTTATCGGGTCACACCCATCAAAGTGCTCCTGAGTCACTCCCATTCTTTTATTTGTCTGTAACCACTTCTCTATGCCCTCTTCCCCAACCAGTTAATCATCAGCTTATTCCCCTAATCAGTTTCTGTTAACTTGGAAGTTCAGATCTTTCTAGGACACTGAACTTGTCTTTTAAGTTAATATTGCCTTTCTCCTCTCCTTATGTCTTTTAAATAGTTTTTTTAAAAGACATATTTTAAAGACATTTTTAAATGTCTTTTAAAGCAATGTCCTTTTGTATAGACACAAGAAGACAATATTATGCTTTTGTAATGTGGGATATAATTGGCTTAGAATATTATTCATTCCCGGGCATCTGCTTTCTCAAGTTAAGTCTCTATTATCCTCAGTTCCTAGCATCCCCAAAGCAGGGTCCCAACGAGGGACTGAAGGGACTCAGGGCAAGCTGTGAGTGACCCTGGCATTGAAATGGGCCAGGCCATCATTCTTTTTTTTTTTTTTTCTTTTTGGGTCACATCCCGCGATGCTCAGGGGTTACTCCTGGCTCACGCACTCAGGAATTGCTCCTGGTGGTGCTTGGGGAACCATATGGGATGCTGGGAATCGAACCTGTGTTGGCCATGTTGGCTGCATGCAAGGCAAACGCCTTACTCGCTGTGCTATCGTTCCAGCCCCCAGGCCACGATTCTTAACTATAAGTTAAGAGCTTGGTCATGGACAAATGCTGTCATGATCCAAAAGTACTGATGAGACTAGGACCTTGCTAGGGATAGGAAAGACTAATCCGGCCTGAGCACTGTAGTCTGAGATCGAGATAATCCCAGGAGAGCAATTCTATAAACTTAATGAATCTTTTATTGTGTCCATACAAAATGAATAATATTATGAATGTTTATATGTTTGTTGGACAAGAAGAGGAGAAACATACCCATAGGATTCTGCCCTTGGGTGGGTCATCCTGCCGAAAAAGAATCTATCCTAGAAGCAGCAACCTCTGAGGGAAAGGACTTTAACCCTATTGATTGTGACCACACCTATGTGTAAACCCAACCCCTCATGGTTTTGAGATTTAATTAGGCTGTTAGAGTGGGCTGGGGGATCAGGATCCAGAGCCAGAGACAGAAGGAGAAAAGGGGTTCGAGATTGGGGACCGGTAGAGAAGGAAAGAGAGAGAGACAGGAATGAATGGGGATGAGATAGGAATAAATGGCTATTAAGACCACCCAGCCTGGCTCTCGTTTCCTCCTTCCATCTGCCCCAAACCCCGGGCCACCCCAGCTGGGCCACTGGCCCTGGGGACCCCCAAACCCGGGTGGCAAGGGGAAGAGCCATCGGGGCCTCCCTCTGGCCACTTCCTGGAGATTTTATACAGGGGACATCACAACAAAAACTAAAGGAATTCAAAAGATCAGAGATTACTTTGAACGTCTGGATGCCATGGAACAAGAGAACCTAGAAGAAATGGATACATTCCTGGATTCCTATAACCTCCCAAGGCTGAACCAGAAAGATTTGGAGAACCTGAATAGAACTGTCACTATCAAGGAAATAGGAACAGTAATCAAAAGTCTCCCCAAAACAAAAGCCCAAGTCCAGATGGATTCATTAGGGAATTCTTTCAAACATTTAAAGAAGAGCTATTGCCAGTCCTTTTCAATCTTTTCCAGGAATTTGAACAGAGACATTCCCAAATAGTTTCTAGGAGACACGTGTCACCCTGATACCAAAAGCAGAGACACCACAAAGAAAGAAAATTACAGGCCCAGATCCCTGATGAACATGCATGCAAAGATCCTCAGAAAATATTAGCAAATAGAATCCAACAACTCATCAAAAAATCATATACAATGACCAAATAGGATTCATCCCAGGGATACAAGGATGATTTAACAGTTGCAAGTCAATCAACTAATTCATCATAGCAATAAAAGAAAAGATAAAACCATGTGATCATATCAATAGATGCAGAGAAACCATTTGACAAGATCCAGCACCCGTTTATGAAGAAAACTCTCAGCAAAATGGGAATTGAAGGAACTTTTCCCAATATAGTCGAAGCCATCTACCACAAGCCCACAACAAGCTTTATTCTCAATGGGGGAAATCTAAAAGCCTTCCCTCTAAGATCTGGGACAAGAAAAGCATGCTCACACTTGCCACATCTATTCAAGATAGTAGTGGACGTACTTGCCTTAGCTGTTAGGAAAGAAAAAGATATTAAGAGCATCTAGATAGGAAAGGAAAAAAATCAAGCTCCATTTGCAGATGACATGATACTATACCTAGAGAACCCTATAGCCTTTACCAAGAAGCTCCTAGAAACATTAGATTTGTATAGTAAAGTGGCAGGCTACAAAATCAGTACCCAAAAGTTCACAGCTTTCCTATATGCAAATAAAGAGAATGAAGTGATATGAAAAAACCAATCCCATTCACAGTCATTCCTTAGAAAATCAAGTATCTCAGAATCAGTTAACTAAGGAGGTAAAGGGCCTGTTCAAAGAAATCTACAAAATGCTACTTCAAGAAATAAAAGAGGACACGAAGCAATGGAAACACATCCCCTGCTCATGGATTGGGAGAATTCACATGGTCAAAATGGCAATATTCCCCAAAGCATTATAGAGATTCAATGCGAGCCCTAAAAGAATACCCATTACATTTTTCAAAAAAATTGATCAAACACTTCTGCAATTCATGTGGAAAAATAAACCCCCACAAATAACTGAAGCAATTCTTGCGGGGGAGGGGGGAATGGAAGACATCACCATCCCCAACTTCAAACTGTACTACAAAGTGGTAGTAATTAAAACAGCTTGGTATTGAAATAAAGACAGACCTGCAAACGAATGGAACAGGGTTGAATATTCTGACACACACACCCTCAAATGTGTGATCATTTAATTTTTGATAAGGGAGCAGGAAATATGAAGTGGAGCAAGGAAAGCCTCTTTAACAAGTGGTGCTGGCAAAACTGGACAGTTATATGCAAAAAGAAAAAAGAAAAAATGGCCTCAGACCTCTACCTAACACCAGGCACAAAAGTCAGATCAAAATGGATTAAGGGCCTCAAAATCAGATCAGAATTCATAAGTTACACTGAAGAAAAGGTAGGCAAAACCCTCCACTATATTAAAGCTAAAGGTATCTTCAAAGATGAAGTGCCACTGACCAAGCAAGTGGAAGCAAAAATAAATGGAACTGTCTTAAACTAAGAAGCTTCTGTACCTCAAAACAAACAGTGACCAGGATACAAACACAGCCTATGGAATGGGAAAAGTTATTCACCCAATATCCTTCTGATAAAGGGTTTAATATCAAAGATATATAAGGCACTGGTTGAACTCTGCAACAGAAAAACATCCAACTCCATCAGAAAATGGGACAATGAAATGAACAGAAACTTTCTCAGAGAAGAAATTCAAATGGCCCAAAAGACACATGAAAAAAATGCTGAGGAATGGGGAGAAAGGGACTTTCTTTCATTGTTGGTAGGAATGGTGACTGGTCCAAGGTTTTTGGAAAACAAAATGGACATTCCTCAAAAAACTAGAAATTGAGCTTCCATTTGACCCAGCAATACCACTTCTGGTAATATACCTTGAGGAATCAAAAACACACAACAGAAATACCATATGCACTCTGATGTTCATTGCAGCACAAATCACAATAGCCAGAATCTGGAAACAATCTGAGTGCCCGAGAACAGATGAATGGACAAAGAAACTATGGCACATCTACCCAGCAGAATACTACGCAACTGTTAGGAAAAAGGAAGTTGTGAAATTTGCCTATAAATGGACATGGAGAGTATCATGCTGAGTGAAATGAATCAAAAGGAGAGGGACAGATATAAAATGACTGCATTCGTTTGTAGTATATAAAAATATATAAATAGTGGAAAACTAATATCCATCACCAGGGAAAACAGGGGATAGGAAGACTGGGTCCATGGTTGAGGTCAACCACAAAAGTGTGTGGGGCGGAGGGTAGGTAAAATAGAGAAGAGGCCAGTATGACAATCACTGGGAATGATCATGCTGGACAAGAATAGAGTGTTCAAAGTAGATAAGGGGATATTCTTGATTACCTTTCAGTATCAATATTGCAACCACAATGCCCAAAAGAAGAGAGAGAGAGACAGAGACAGAGAAATAAACAGAGACAGAGAGAAGAAAAGTGTCTGCCTTCGAGGCAGGTACGGTGTGAGGGGTGGAGGGTGATGGGAGGGAACCTGGGGACACTGGTTCTGGGAAATGTACACTGGTGGAGGGATGGCTGTTGAAACAGTGTACAATTGAAACCTAATCATGAACAACTACCATGAAACATTACCATGGACAGTACTGTAAAACTGTAAATCATGATGGCTAAAATAAAAAGATACTTTTAAAAATAAACTAATTATATGGACTGGAGCAATAGCACAGTGGGTAGGGCATTTGCCTTGCACACGACCAACCCGGGTTCAATTCCCAGCATCCCATAGGGTCCCCTGAGCACGGCAGGGAGTAATTCCTGAGTTTAGAGCCAGGAGGAACCCCTATGCATTGTCGGGTGTGACCCAAAAAAGCAAAAAACAAACAAACAAACAAACAAACAAAAATGAACTAATTATAGCCTTTCCCTCTCTTGCCAGTATCAAATTCCTATGACTACCATGCTTTCATTAATTTAAACATCATTTATTACTTGTATTCAAGTTTGATGACATACAAAACTCATGAAACATTAGTCTGCTACTTTGGATGTCAATATTTTTCTATACATCACTTGTGTCTAAATTGACTTATCAATTAAAAATCAATAAACATCAGAAAAATGGGCAAAGGACAATCAATTTTAAAAATACAAGGTTCAGCGAACATGTAAAAGTATTTAATTTCAAAAATAACCAGTCACTGTCACTGTCACTGTTCTTCCGTTATTCATCAATTTGCTCGAGCAGGCCCAGTAACATCTCCATTGTGACACTTGTTACTGTGTTTAGTATATCGTCATGGGTAGCTTGCCAGGCTTTGCTGTGCAGGCAAGATACTCTTGGTAGCTTGCCGGGCTCTCCCAAAGGGGCGGGGAAATCGAACTTGGGTTGGCCAGGTTGGCCGCATGCAAGGCAAATGCCCTACCATCTGTGCTAACCAGAAAATTAAAATATGGATGGCTTTTATTCATTCATCAGACCAGCCCCCAAATGAAGAATGCCCAGAGGTGAATGGGCATGGAGAATCAATACTTTCATGAACTATTAAATTAGCACAACTATTTTGAGGTCAGTTAAATTTTTATAACTATATACTCTTCAGCCCAACAAATCCATCTCTAAATATCTATTTAACAGACCTACCTGCCCATATTCATAAGGCTGTGTGCTGCATTAATACATGTGACCAAAAAAAATCGAAACATATTTCAATAGAATTACTATGAAACAGGATTTTAAACAGATGAGGTAAACCTCCACATACCATAAAGGAAAGAAGTCTAAAGCAAAATAAAGTAAAAGTATCAAGTGGCAGATGTTATATTTATAAAAAAAAATCAGAAGATTTACTTTTGCATTATGTATCATTTAAAAAATTTTAATTAAGAATGTAATCATGTTGGCTTGCTATTCAAGCCCACGTTCTCCTGTGAACACATTTCCTATTTGCTCATCTCTGTGTGCTCTCTCTTGAACATGTACTTCTCTTTTTCTCCTCTCACATCTTTCTAAAATAAGTTTCAATAAAAACCATCTGTTTCACCAAAATATATACCTATATGTATATGTGTGTGTATAAAATTAATTCTACCAGTTATGGAATGGAAAGTAAAGAGTAAAGTAAGAGCTTGGTAAACTAAAATTTTTTAAAGAAATAAACTATTATAACTAATAGAGGTTGTTTTGGGACATGAGGGGGAAATACCTTCTATCAGTGGTATTGGTCTTAAAATTGTATACTAAGAGAATTTTATGGCGCAATTGTTTTTTAATATTTATATTTGGAGAGAATATACTCACAGTTTCTCAACCCAATGGTATGCCTTCCATGTATTTCCATCAATGGAAGAAATAGAGTTTCCTTGGAAATTTCTGTGAAGAAACACAGTTCACAGACTTGAACAAGTAGGAAAAGAATGAACAGAATAAGTAAAAGAACCATGGAAACACAGAAAACTCCAGCATATTTCCACAGCTATGAGCTTCCCATTTTGCCCAACTAAAGACATGACATGGGGTGACTGGTCAAACAATGAAATATCTCACAATCTGAACTTCCTAATTCCTGGAGTAGCTAAATAATGCCAGCTAATTAGCCTGTAAGTTACTTTACCAAACTCACATCTATTGTAACTCCTACTGCAAATCAATGGAGAAAATTATAATTTCATAATTATCATGTACAGAAAAACGAACAAAATTATCAGCAAATAAATATTTAAAAACATTGCCAGAGAACACCAAAGGTTTAAGTCAATGCTGTCTGTCGAAATTTTGAGATAGTAGAAATTTCTAGAGACTAGGGAAATTAGAAAATGAGGGGGAACTAGTGAGGAGAGATATATTCAATGTACCTCAGAAAAGGAACAAATCACAAAGAATTACCTTCAGTGGGGGGAAAAATGCACAGGAAAGAAAGTAGAAGGAAACCCAAGATGGTAACGGGAGTTATTGTGCAGTAGTCGTACAGCTGGTAGGGTGGGAAAGTGGGATTTTACATTTTATCCTATTTACTAACCTATTGTAACAAAGAGAATATGTTCATGAATTTACACATGTATAGATGCATGAAGTTGTGGGAGGGGGGTGGGGGAATGGTGCTCAGGACTTGCCCCTGGCTCAGCGCTCAATAATTTTTAATTAAACTGCTGGCAGTGGTGGAGGGGGACCCTATGAGGTGCCCGGGATTGAACCTGGGTTGGCCACATGCAAGGCAAGAGCCCTACCCACTGTCCTATGACTCTGGCTCCCTGAGTTCAGTTTTAAACACTAACTCTGTGGATCACTTTGAATCTAGTTTTGTCAACTTCCCTCAGCAACATGTGTATATAAGCTGCGAATGCGTACATAATCCAAATATAAACCTAATCAGTTTACGTACACAGTTTTTAGGGTGAAAATGTTGAAACAGAAACCTATCCCATCAACCTAGTGAACATTTCCACTCAAGACTTCTGGCTGCTTTATGATGTCTAAGCCACAAGTTGAGGGATATGTTTAAGGAGGCACAGATTCATAACTGTTTCATAAGCATATTACTTATCTCCAAACATACAAATCATACCAAACATGCACAGCTTTTTATATCCAAGCACAAAATTTTTTTCATCAAAAAAGATGCCTAATACTCAATTTATCTCATCAGAATGGCTTTCCTTCCTATCTACTACATTTCCACCTGTAACACCATTATCATTCTCTCAATAAGAACACAAACTTCAGTCATATTGGATTTTTTTCTTTCCTTCTCCCTCAACTTGGCAGTTACTAACTTTGATTGGTCTTTCTTTGTAATGACCTTGGGATTTTCTTTGTATCTTTTTGGGCTTTGGGGAGGCTCAGCCTGTGGTGCTCAGGGGACAACTCTGGCTCAGTGCTTGGGAGGGGTCACTCTGGTGGTGCTCAGAGAGTCATGTGATACCAGGGATCCAACCCTGGGTTCCCACATGCATAGCCTGTGCCCAGTCTTTTGAGCTCCCTCCCCCATCCAGGATGTTTTTCTATTCCTGCCGCAATCGCTTATTCAACCCCTTCTCACTTTACTCCTAGATTTTATTGGTCTTTTTCAAACAACTTTCCTCTTAGATTTCCCTATATATAGAATCTAAAATAATTCTTATTTATCTCTCTTGCTTGGAAACTTTCAATAGCTCCTCTATACTTCACAATGCAAATTTCAAGCCCCAAACCTGATACTTAAAGATTTTTTCACAAGCATATTTTCATTACTTTCTAACTCAGTTCAATTTTTTTGTGGAGCAGGGCACATCCAACAGTGGTCAGGGACCACATCTGATGATGATCAGGAACCATACGTGGTGCTGGAATTCAAATCATGGTGGCTGCCATCGCCACATACAAGACAAATGCCTTAGCCAGTGTACCACCGTTCCAGCCCCTAACAGATTTTTTTTTGTCTGCCTGTTTTTTAAATCCTAGAACTTTCTAGAGCTATGCTTTTTCTTATACTGTATTCTCCCCTCCCTTCACCCCCATACACTTTATTTAACAAATTACCGTCAACCTCTAATTCCCAGCTAAAGTTGCTCTGTGTCAGCTCTCTGAAGCTTTCCCCAACTGAGAAGACTCTGTACATTTCTGTGCCTCTGTTGGTGCTTAGTGATATGCTGCCTTTCCTTTTTTGTGTATTCCCTTTCTCCCCACACCATCATATTTAAGAGCCGATGACATATTCTTCTGGCTAGGTTGAGGGAAATGGGTGCTTATATGGAAAGTCGATGTAAAAAAATTTAATTCTGAAATGAGAGATTAAAAGTAACAATAACAGACAGCATTCATGTATATGCTAGTTGCCCGATATAAGTATATAGTTTTGCGGGGAGGCCACACCCAGAAATACTCAGGTGTGACTCCGGGCTCTGCACTCAGGAATCACCTCTGGTGGTGCTCAGGGAACCATATGGGATGCTGGGGATCAGACCAGACCTAGGTGAAACATTTTCAAGGCAAATGCCCTACCTACTGTACTATCACTCTGGCCCAAAGTATTTACATAGATTTCATAAATACTACTTTTATTGCAATTGAAGCTGGCTAGATCTCACAATCAACCCTTCTCTACCACCTTGGCCTCATCTCTATAGGGATTAAGGTTAAACTTGTTTAAAGGTTCTAACTTCATAGGTATCAAAATGATCAAGTATCACAACAATACTAGGAGGTGATAACTTACCATAATCCCCACCTAAAGAAAAGGGAACTGAGTTACAGAGCTAAATAACTTGTCCAAGGTAACAAAGCTAACAAATGACAAACTTGGGCAGTCTGGCTGCAGAATTCATATCCATAAGCTCAAGGTCGTGGCACCAGCAATAAAAGGTAAAGAGGACATACTATTATTTTAAAAAAAGGCTGGAGCACAAAGGAAACAAAGGTTAAGGAATTAAATGAGCGGATGATGGGAAGAAGGATAGGTTGATGTTGAGATAAAAATAGAGAAGCAAAGAGAGTATGGACAGTTATAAGCAACAGACCAGAGAAGAAGCAACAGATAAGGAGAATGAGAATATCTTTTGACTTACAAAAGATACAAAATGGGAATCATTTAAAGTGGGAGGGGGGACGAGGCTGACACAAGGAGACATTGAAGAAAAGGCTTGCTATGTCAATAGGCAGAATGCAGAGAACAGAGGAGAGGTGATTCTTACAGGACGGTGAAGGTGTTGTTGGTGTTGGGCCCTAGCACAGGCACTCTACGGAGCCTCTTCTCTGGACTGAGACCGGTACAGGAGAGGGTCTTATCTGTGCAGGTACAGCGCTCACATATGTTGAAGGACATGGATACATTCTGTTCCAGTTGCTCAGGGAAATCTACGTGTGCCTTTTCTGAAGCATATAGTACAGAAGGCAGGGCTGAAGAGTGAGTCAGAGAAGAATGAGCTGTCCTTGATGTTTCTGGCTGTGGAGTTACATCCAGTTCACTCAGATCTGTCTGCTGTTGCTGAAGCTGTTCTGAAGGCATTTCCTCAGTGGGGGTTGTCGGAGTGGTACTTGCTTTTTCTGAAGTACATTGTACAGAAGGCAGGGCCGAAGACTGAGTCGGAGAAGAATGAGCTGTCCTTGATGTTTCTGGTTGTGGAGTTGAGTACAAAGGTACAGATGTGTGTTCACCCAGATCTGTCTGCTGATGCTGACGCTGTTCTGAAGGCCTTCCCTGTCTGGGAGTTGTCAGAGTGGTACTTATTGGAACTGTTCCATCAGCTTTCTTTGGGGCCTTCGAAGACTGAGCTGGAGTCTCTTGCATGGTGGGAGATATAACTGAACTGCCTTTAGTTATAGTAACGTCCTTGTTTTTAGATGGATATGTGACTTCACTCAGGTTTGAACAAAGACTCAGAGATGGTGTGATATGTGTCGTATTCGAGTGTTCTGTAGCACTGGTACTTGTCAGGGTTGTCGAGGGTTTAGTCTTCACCATGTATTCTGGAGTTACAGTCAAATACTGAGTTGTAGAAAGCTCATTTTGATTAAAATTCTGAGCCATGGTCTTCTGTGTGGTTGGAGAAAGTACTGTCTTCAAAACCCCCAGACTAGGCGGAGGTGAAACGTTAGTTGAGATTGAATGAGTCTGTACATGTCCTGATGGTTTTGTCACAGTGTGCTCTGTAGGAGTGGTAGTCCTCTTCAGGATCGTAAAACCTTTGCTCTCCCTACTTGGTTCTGCCGTGATAGTCGTGACAGGGGCTGATGATGGATGCTGAGTTGATGCTGATACTGTCGGTTCCAAATACTCTGAGGCCTGAGCCAAAATTATATCAGTCGGTAGCTCTGAAAGCTGAGTGAGGGTTTCCTGAATAGATGAAGAAATTTCCATTTCCTCAGCAGGTTCCTTGTCTGGTGAAAGCTGAGTTTGAATCTGTCCTGAATGTAGAACTACTCCCTCACTCTGGAACATCTGTTTTGACATCTGCCAGCCAGATAGTGTCATATTCTCAGAGAGGCCTGGAAATGAAGCTGGGACCTCTGGAGATGGAGATGATTCATCCTCATTGGGAGACCCAGGAAATATAGTTGGGTTCTCTTGGGAGCCTGGAGGTAGCGCTTGGCTCTCTTGGGGAACAGGCTGTGATTCTATCTTCTCAGAGTGCTCTGTAGATGGAGCTGGGTTTTCTTGTTGGGATACAAAGATTTTTGTTTCATTTGAAGGCTCACATGTAGTCAAGTCCTCCTGAGAGACTGAATGTTGAGGTGGGGTCTCTTTCTGGGTTACGAGTCCGGTTGTTGCAGTAGTCTTTAGAGGATGAGTCAAGATCAGATCCTGAGCAAATAGTCTCATCTCAGAGTTCCCTAATACATTTGTTGGGCTCTCCTGATGGAGTGTGTAAGTGTCCACCCCAGAAAGATCTGGAGTCTCAGCAATGGTCCCTTCTTGACCTGGAGTAGATTCGATCTTTTTAAGGGTGACTGCAGGGTGATCAGAGTCTTCTTGTTGAATTTGAGAAGACTGAAATCCTTCAGACTGTGTTGGAACTTGCTGCCAACTTGGAGAATACCCTGCTATTGTTCTGGGGTGTACTGTTACAGCAACAACCACATTGTCAGGTTCAGTCATGACACTGGAGACGTGTGAATGTGAAGAGTGAGGGGGACTTGGTGAAACTGTCATCTTCTGATTCTCCAGAGTCTGGATTGGGAATGCTTCATAAGTCTGAGTTGGAGAGTCTGGGGGCTTAGGAGAGGTGCTTGGCTGAGTCGAAGAAATGACTACCTCAAGATGCTCAGGAATCTTAAGTACGATGTCCTCTTGGGTTGAGGAAGATAAAACAGTTTTAGTGGTTTCAGACTTGTTACTTTTAGATTTCTTTGTAGTCTTAGGTAGAAACTTATAAGTTGTATCATTATTTATTATTGATAAGGAAAACTTGGATGACAGGTACCCAGTTCCAGATAGAGGGTAGAATAGATTCCCTTGTGTGGTTATCACAGAGTCATGAAGGTTCTCTATCAGCTGGGAAGATTCTTGCTCCTTAGTAGAAAAGCTTTTCCCTGGGTGTTCTGGACCTTGAGTCTGTGTTTCCTGTAGGACTGAAGATTTCCCCACCTCAGTGAGGTCAGTGGTTTTATATGATGAAAATGTAGTCATCTCAGAGAACCCTAGCATTTTATCCTGGGACTCCTGCAGGACTGATGGAGATTCCATAACCTCAGAGCGCTCTGGAGCTTTACCTTGGGCCTGCTGGTGGGCTAATGAAGATTTGGGTAAAGAGAGTTCTGTAGCTGGAGTCTGTGATTCTTTCTGGACTGAGGATTGAACCTCATTAATGATCTCTGGAGTTATGGAAATTGTCACCATCACAGGTTTTACAGTGACGTGGGGCAAGTTTGAAAGGTGAACTTCATTTGGAGGCTGAGGTGAGACCTCCTGCTGCCCTGGAGAAGATTCAACCTCATTATTGACCTCTGGAAACATGTTAATTGTCAAATCCACAAGTTTTTCAGTAACACTGGAAAAAGTTAAGTGCTGTGTTTCATTCTTACTTGGCAATGACACATGTTCAGGATGGTCTAATGGCTTAGTTACAACCTCTCCATATGGCTCTGGAGGCAATGTTGACACCTCATGGACCGTAGAAGATATGGGCTCAAGTTTATTTGAACTTTGAGCCTGCACCTCCTGCTGTAATGAAGAAGGTTCGACCTCATTACTGTCCTCTGTAGTTATAGTAATTGTCACACCCAAAGGTTTAGCGGTGACATTGGGCAAAATTACATGTGGAGCTTCATATTGACTTGGAGATGGAACATTTTCTTCAAAATGCGGAAATGGTTGAGTGACAGATTCCTCAGATGGCTCAGGAGGCTGAGCCTGTACCTCCTGCTGGACTGAAGGTTCATCCTCATTACTGAACTCTGTATATATGGAAAATGTCACACCCATAGGTTTAGCAGTGACCCGGGGTAAATTGAAGCTTAAAGCTTCATTCTGACTTGGAGGTGGAACATTTTCTTCAGAATGCAGAAGTGGTCGAGCGAAAGATTCTGCAGATGGCTCAGGAGGCTTAACCTGGGCCTCTTGCAGAACTAAAGAAGGTTCAACCTCATTATTGACCTCTGTAGTTATAGTTAATGTCACACCCATAGGTTTAGCAGTGACATGAGGCAAATTTAAGCTTGGAGCTTCATTCTGACTTGGAGATGGAATATTTTCTTCAGGATGCAGAAGTGGTCGAGCGACAGATTCTGCAGATGGCTCAGGAGGCTTAACCTGGGCCTCTTGCTGAACTAAAGAAGGTTCAACCTCATTATTGACCTCTGTAGTTATAGTTAATGTCACACCCACAGGTTTAGCAGTGACATGAGGCAAATTTAAGCTTGGAGCTTCATTCTGACTTGGAGATGGAATAATTTCTTCAGGATGCAGAAGTGGTCGAGCGACAGATTCTGCAGATGGCTCGGGAGGCTTAACCTGGGCCTCTTGCTGAACTAAAAAAGGTTCAACCTCATTATTGACCTCTGTAGTTATAGTTAATGTCACACCCACAGGTTTAGCAGTGACATGAGGCAAATTTAAGCTTGGAGCTTCATTCTGACTTGAAGATGGAATATTTTCTTCGGGATGCAGAAGTGGTCGAGCGACAGATTCCTGAGATGGCTCAAAAGGCTGATCCAGGGCCTCCTGTGGCACTGGAGAAGGTTCAACCTCATCGACGTCTGAAAATATGGAAAATGTCACTCTCAAAGGTTTAGCAGTGACACGGGGCACCTTTAAGTGTGGAACTTCATTTTGACTTGGAGATGGAACATTTTCCGAAGGATGCAACAATGGTTGAGCTTCAAACTCCATAGGGGATTCAAGAGGCTGAGCTAGGGAATTCTGCTGGACTGAAGATTCAGTCACCTCAGGGATACCTGGGGCGTGAGCCATTACCTCCTGCGGTATGGCATAGCCACTGTAAGGGCTCTCTGGAACCTGAAACTTGGCCTCCTCTTGGGCTAGAGGTTGTTTATTCTTTCCAAGGTTCTCTGCAGTGTAAGTTGGATTTAGGGATTCTGGCTGGGTTGATGTTTCACCCTCACTTGGAGTTCCGGTAATCTGCAGATAGGCAGGTTTGATGGTGACAGTAGCTACATTTGAAAGATGGGCTGCTTTCTGGATTGGAGACGGTTTATTTTCCTGATCATGTGCTTCAAGTTCCAGACCTGACTCTAAAGGCTGAGCTTCCACCTCCTGAGGCACTGAAGATCCTTTTTCCTCAGCAGCCAATGTAGGCTGAACTAGGGTTTCTGGCAGGACTGAAGCAGTATCACCCTCTTCAGGGGTACTTGACAGCAAATCTGAGTCTGGAACTAAAGAAGGTTTTGATTCCTCAGGAGATCCTAGAAGTGCAGCTGGGCTCTGTTGTGTGCTTGCTGAAAGTTCAGCTTCCAGGGCCTTAAAGGGAAGCTGTTCTATCTCTTCAAAGGTTTCTGGATGCTGAGGCTGGGGTGAAAAGGATCCAATCTTGTGAGGGATCTGTAGATGTTTCTCTGAATCTCCCACCAAAGGTTGACTCCCCTCAGGATAAAAAATATCCATACCGGAATCTAAGTAATCATCCTGCATCTGTTGTGGTAGACGATGAGGTCTCGTAGATTTCCTGGGAGTACCAACAACTTTAGCAACATGGTGGCGGCCAATTGGACCCTTCCTCTTGTTTTCAGGGGAAATAATGAAGTTTAATAATTTTGAAATCTGTCCACCTAGATGTGGTGGATGCATTTCAAATGTCTGATGTTCAGTTTGGTCTATACCTGTAGGTGTAATTATACTTCTCTTTCTAAGATACAAAGCCAGAGGTGGACTCTGATTCTGGCGTATCATTGGATCAACTGGGAGCCTCTGATGTGTTGCCGGCTTATCAGTAAAACCCTGGTGTGGAACGGCAAATCGATGTGACCCAGAGGGTAGCTCTCTACCTGAAT